AGCCCCAGGCAGTAAGGCAGAAGCTCACGGCGTGCTCTGGGCTCTACCAAGCCCTGCTTGCTGGAGCACTTTGAGTCTGGGGACACGACTGCAGCTATGCACACCCTGCTGCTGCCCCAAATATCCCCCCTGGGAATCTCCCAGGTCAGAAGTGTGGTCTCTAGACAGATGACTCCTGCATATGAATAATATATGTGCATCCGCTTACAGCAGGTGTTTAATCCGCGAGGGCTTTTCTGGCCAGTGGAAATTCTATTGCATTCTTTCTTCCTTGTCACCGTTATAATACTTTTAAATGTTGTTTTTCTTTCCCCCATTAAAAGGAAAACATTTCTCAGAAACAGTAGTGGGCTGTTAGGGCTATAAAACAAGTTTGCACAGTCATGTAACACGTTGAGCCGCAAGACACGACAGAGCATGTTTTATGGGGCAATTAATACTTGCCTTGGGAGCGCTGTGAGGTATGAAGCACCATCAAACACACCCTGGTACATCCGAATGCAACTTGTAAGGCTGCATTTTGAGCCTTGGAAAATAATCATGAATTAGTTGCCGATTTATAATTTGTACTGGTTGAAGGAGCCACGCTCAACACCAACAGCAGGAAAGAGCACTACCAGCACATTGGCCTCACCTCCAACCCAGCTGCACCCCAAAGCAGCTCAGTGCAGGACATCCCTCTGCCAGGAGCTGCAGCACTGAACAACACACCAGCACCACAAAACGGAGCAGGAATATTGTAGCAGCAGAGGCTGACTGGTGAAGCACAGGGACCACGTTCCTCCCCACGTATTACGATAGGAGAAGGAACAAATGAAGTGATAAGGCTGAGTTGCAAGCAATGCCAGGCCTGCATAAGCAGCTCAGAGCTGGATCCTCACCTGCTGTGAATCAGCACCATCCTACAAAACTCACAGTTACCTTGAAACTAATGTCCTGGGTTGTCATGCCTAGAGACATGACCCTTAGAAGCTGGTGTTCCAAATTAATCCTCCCGAGCTGTTAAAAAATACATACTATTTTTTCTTGGATCTCCTTTAAATTCTTGGAGCTCATCTACATTTCCGCTAGTCTGTTTTTTGAAATCTAAGGCTTTGTTTTTATGTCACTTTAATACAAGTTCTTTAAAGCACTGGAAACAAGTATTAAAAGGTCTTTGATATGAGAAAACACACTGAGCTGCTTCCAGTATTTCATTAAGTGCATAGAATTTTTTCCTTTGAAAGACAATTTGATGAGTATGAATAACAACACAAAAATGTTAACATATCCACTGTAGCCATACCTACCAGTTTTAAGTTGACCAAGTCCTTCCCTAAATTAGTTTTATCAGGGACCTCATGTTTGAAGTGAAGGTGGGTTGCAGGGTAGTTCTATGACACTTTTCAGTGCCTTTACTTTCTTGGCTGGTTGCAAGAATTTCCTGCAGCATGCATTACTGCAAATGCTCTTATGCCAAAAGAAGCAAACAGAGAGGTACAAAAACAAAGGACCTGCATGTAACAATGTATTGTTCTATTTCTCTCTTAGACTGGAGATTTAATACCATCCATTCCACTTTTGAAAGGAATGTTTGTGAGAAGTTGCTACTAAAATTCCTTACCTTTTTTCTTATCAAAGCAGCCTTAAAAATAGAGATTGCTGAATTTCTCCATGGCTGTGTTCACAGCTCAGTTTGTCAACTACGATGTGTGCATACATGACAGCTCCTGCTGCCTTCCTTTTTTTTCCTGTCGCACACTTCAGGAAGTTTCCTAAGAGCTACTTGCAACTCTGACCTATCGTGCTACATACAAGTAGCTGTACAGCTCGTTAAAGTACAGCAAAGCAAACAAAAAGTGAAAGTTTATTTAATATTACTCTGTCAGTCCATAGAAGTGAGGTCTACTTTTCCAAAGAGAATAAGGTGAGGAGAGTTTGGGGAATCTGCAGTTCCCTCCCAAGACTGGCTATCCTTTCAGTACTTAAAATTCAGTATTGACCAGCTGTTCTTACTTATATCTACTGAACTTGTAATGAGGTTTGAGACATTTTCATTAGAAAATGCACCAAGAGGTAATATTGCAGTAGCAAAAGCAGAACTTAAAAGGTGGCAGTCTCTTGTGCTAAGTTCTCTCAACGTCCATTTGAAGATAGCATGCTAGAGATGTTTGCTTTTACTCATTTTATTTAACCACTCCCCATCTTTATCTTACTCGAGGCCTGTACGCTGACCTCTACAAGTAATAGCAAGGTTACAAAGACAGCAAGAGCTCCCAAATATAGGTATTTATCTCCATTAATCTGCCAGAACTGCTCACTAATCATGGTCCCGTTAAATAGATGTCAGAGAACATCAATTTCTTTGATTTCTGAGATCCAATTAAAACTTAAGAAGTAGGCATGACAATTACAGTACTTTCCATAACAATTTTGCATCCCCATTCCTTCTGCATCCTATTAAACATTTTAGCACCTATTAGGGATGACACACTGTGTACTAAGGAGGTCAGAAACTTAAAGGAATCCATCCAAAAGTCCAAGACCACTCAAAACACTGGTGGCACTTGACATAATTTATAGTGCTAAAGAGCTGGGGAACAGGAAAAGGTTGATGTAGTAATAACATTAGCAGGAACTATACAGTCCATGCAAGGCAGTGCTAAATAAAGTGCCAATCAATAGCTCTTTTATTAGCAGGTACAATCAATGTACAGCAGGCAGGCCTGGCCAATTAAGCTTATCGACTGACCAAAGAGTAGCAGGAAGCATTCTTTCCTCGGTTTTGTTTTCCTTTCTGTAAGTGAGAAACGAGTTCCAGTTTTATCACTGGATTCCCACCAAGGCATCTCCAGGAGTTCCTGTGGAGTGGAAGCGCTGACAAAAAGCAGGCAGGAGCTATCTTGGTATCCTTTAACCTAGGGTCAGCCACCAGAGCCCACGTAGTCAGGGGTCACTTACAAAGTAACTTTTTTTTCCTAGTGACTGTATGAAGTAAAAATGTTTGAGATGAAGGGGAGAGAACCAGTAAGAGAAAAAAGCACAGCCACCTAGCAAGGCTTAACTATTAACAGTCCTGAAAGGCCCAGGGAAATGAAGCCTGTTTCCATTTCATGTATTCAGTGTATAAACTCGGTAAAAATCCAAGTGTAGAGCAACTCAAGTACATTTCTTGGAAGAAAAAAAACACCAGAACTACAGTTTCAGTAAAAATTAAACTGAATTTCCATCTCACATTGTAAAGACTGCTGAAAATAACAGGGGCTTTACTATTCGGCTGTGACTAACTAAGCAGATGCAAATAGGATATTTATCTTCAGTGCCCCCCCTCCCCACTCTGATCTCCTCTTCCTCTGTTATCTCTTTCAAAAGGAAAAAGCTCGAACGCCTGATAAGCTGTGGGTTCTCAGTGTGATCAAACAAACACTGTGCAGTGGCCACAAAAAAGAAAACACGTTGTAGGAACAAACTGTAAAGGTTATGTTTTACGGAGAATCGCATCCAAAATTAGCAGCCCTGATGCCAATTTCCCACCGATGGAAACTGGCTGGGATGGCTGGGGCCCGGCCTCCCAGCAGGCAGCGCACAGCATCCATCCCTTCAGCCGGGCAGGCTACATCAGTCTGCTCTTCTTGGGTTTGATCCTTCAGCTTTTTATTGGAAGTCAGTGAACACAGCCTAGTTTGCCGGGCTCATATCCCTCAAGGTCTGGCACATTCAGAGCTTCAGTTATTAACACCTCAAAAAAGCTGGGGGGAAGAAGGGCATTCTCAGCATGTTTGACCACAGGCAGATGGACCCTGCAGGATGGGTCAGTTTTCGGCTTCATATCAAGCAGCTCCCTCAGCTGTATCCAATTCAGGAAATATTTTAGCAATCTGCAAAAGCTGCCTTAAGTGTCAAACAATCCACTGCTGTGAGGGAAGTATTCCACTCATTACATTTATTCTGTTTGCTGGCATTATTTGCTCGCAGATGATAATATACAGGCTTAAAGAAAGCAAATCAAATAACTTCACATCCTATCTAAGCATCACAAGCCCAGTCTTTGTTGCAGCTCAGAACAGCTCAGACTGTATCAACCACACTGGGTGTTGTACAATCGTGCTTTTAGTGCGCAGCCTCTGTTAAAATTCACCACAGACCACATGGGCAGGAGTTTCCCTTCACTAGAGAAGCCAATCTAGCAGTAACCCAGCTTTGTTCACCTACCTTCATGAGACATGAAATTCCATAACTCCTGGCACCCTGTATTATGACCATGAAACAAAAAGCTCCACAAAGCAAGAGGTGAAAACAAAGCAGGTATTTCACAGAATCACAGAATCAAATGGATTGGAAGGCACCTCTGGAGACCCCTAGCTCAACCTCACTGCTAAAGTATGTTCCCTACAGCAGGTTGCACAGGAAAGCATCCAGGCAGTTTTAGTATATCTTGAGAGAAGGAGATCTCACAGCCTCTCCATGCACCTAACTCCAGTTTCCATTTGGCTTTCTTACATGGCAGCTCACAGAAGGTGATGGAAGACAGCAGTGACAACCACGAGCAGACTAAAGCAACTGAGTTTTTCAGAAGCATTTCTCACTCAGCCCTATGGTTCAGCTTTCCATGAGCTCACAGGTCACAGGGCTTCCAAAGAAAAGTAAATCACACTATTGCTTTTGGTTGAATAAATAGCTTAAAAACAAACTGAGAAACAGTCTCAGCTATTTTGTTCACAAAACACAATTTGATTCAAGATCCCCTTATTTAATCCAGTCTGGCTATCGGGCTCAAAGAGTTCAGCTTGTCTTTCAGATAGAGGTGATCTGCTCTATGAAATGCTTCTGCAAGTGACAGTTCAGGCATACATTCTGCTCCAAAACCAGGACAAGGTCTACAATCACTATTCAGCACATCTGAGCACGGCTTTACTTCAACATTGCCCTGTGCACATCCAAGCACTACGATAAAAATCTAGACGCAACTTTCTCTAGAAAGCCATGGGTGCAGGGAACAGTCAGCCCCAAACTTCACCCACCTCTCAGAGCTGCCCAGCACTGCTTCCTTCTTGCTCAGCACATGGTCACGTCACTGGTGGAGACATCCAGCCAAGCCACTTCATGGCTTCATTTGCCACTGCTGGCCTCTCCTGTCCTCAGAGCTGGGGATCGTTCCTCATGAGAATATCTGTAACGCAGAAGACATCCATTAATTTGGTTGAACATCTAAATTAAGCTGAATTGAGATAAAATAAGTCAAAAGTCTTTGCGAAGGTAAAGCCTGCAATGAGATGCATGGGAACTTCTGTCTTCCAAGTTCTGAAAAAAGAAAATCACACCTTAGGGTCTTGGTGTGCTGTTATTGCTTTGAGGCTCCAAGGGCGAGTTATGACTCAAACTACCAGGACAGTCATCCTGGTGCTCCCTCATAAATTTACAGGTTAGTCAGGGCTCTTCTTCATTTGTGGCAATGCTGTTTGGTTATAAACCCCATCCTAGACATTGAAGTCTGAAGAAGCTTAATCTTCTTTACTGAGTCAGTTTCGGTGGCAGGCAAGGCTTGGTAACATTGCTGAGCAAGTAGGAGTTGAAGGCATATCTCAGATTTGGGGAGAGGGCTGAAATATAGCCCAATGCTAGAAACATCTCCAAAACATCAACTGAAAAATCAGCTCTTTTGCCAAGAAGCAGCAAGTTCTAAGATGCAGGACTACATTTTCCCAGTCAACACATTCCCAGCTAGAATCCTTAAAGCAAAAGTAGGACGTGCTACAAATCCTACTTGGTTGCTCAGCAAAATCACTTTGAAATTCTCTTTTTATGAATCCATTTTAGTAGATGGAAGAGAACCAAGAAGCCAAAGCTTCCTGAAGGCCCTCTTATAAGCACAGAGGTGGTGCCCATTGCAAAACTCCTGATACTCCCTGCACCTCTCTTCCCATTGTGCTCCTTTCTCAGTGGTGCAACAGATGGCAGCAGTTTGTTTTTTAAAGGTTTTTATTTTCTGATTTCAGTTTTTCATTTACCATTTGAATCCAACCCAACACCATTCTCAAGCAAAGAGCAGACATTATGCTAAATCTAATTATCAAAGGCTGAAACCCAGCAATCAATCAATCATTTAGTGACACACATGCTTTCAGTGATTTGAAAAAACAATTTTTGTGGCTATTGAAAAAAAAGGAAAAACTGTCAGAGAGAAAAACAGAATCACAACACAGTAGATGAAAATATCAAGACTGGAGGGAGATGAGTGAAGAATGTTCATTTGTTTTCTCTGAAACCAAACCCAGCTCCTTGGCACAAGAGCCCAGAAGTCACCTATGATACCTTTTATTGTAAACAATCTTCCTGCTGAGGTTTGCATTATAATTAAGGGTGATTTGAACTGCCACAAAACTGGCATTCCTAAGCGACTTTTCTTAAGAGTCAAAGTTCTTTAATTTTCTTGACTCCCCCCCCTTTTATTTTCCTTTAATTTTTTTTTTTACTGCCAAACAAGTGCTCCAGCAGCCGCATTCCTGGGGAACACTGACATCCAGTGGAGAGCTGGGGTCATCCCCAGAGCCACTGAACTGGACCCCAAGTCAGCAGCTCAGAGAGCAGCAGCTCAGGAGCCGTAGGTTGCACTGCAAACCAAGCTGAGCATCAGAAACAGCTTGGGTGACCTTGAGCTACAACTGTTATTTTGTCTTCAACATCCTCATTAAGGTGATCACATTTCTACCCATGTTATTTCTAGTGGTTTACTTGTGAGGCTCAGATGTGGGTTGGTATTTTTTTTCTTTTTGGTTGAGGAAATGTTGAAAGAAAAACCACTTGTATCCAGCACCATGCTCACATCTGTTTCTTTCAGTGATACAGGATGATATGGTTATGTGTTTGGACAGCATTGTATTTCAAATGATAGCAGACAGTCAACGATTAACATTGTTTTCCTTGGGAGAAACAGAGCCTCTAAGGTCACTCATGTTATCACCTAGCACAGAGCCATCTGATAGCACCAGCTGGCTCCAGCCACAACGAGAACGTGCTTGCAAGTTGGCTCACTAAAAACCTACCCAAAGGCAAACATGCAGCTTGGTCTGGGAATCAGGTCCATAAAGCCCACACTGACATGTGACCATCTCCTGCTCCCTGGTAACTGCATCATAGATCAACTTCCAGGAGTTCTCACTTCAAGGCACCGCTTTGTTAGGAGCATGAGGGGTACAGGAAGAGTGAATGGCTACAAGAATCACAGTGCTGGTAACGCTGCCTCCAAACCACAGTAAGCAACATCTGAAGAAAGAAAACAGTTGTACTGCAAGCTGCAAAACAAGAACTGTTTCATACAGAAACATCTGTGGTTTCTAAATTGGTTTTCACTCCACACAGCAATCCAGGACACAGCTTCAGAACATTTCATCCTTCCAGTCCCCCAGCGTGGCAAATCCACAAGACTGACCTGAGAGGGACTGGGTTTTCCAAGTCCCACAGAGAGAACAGGAACCCAGGACAGTCATATCCCAGGCAGTGTCCCCTTGGCTGCTTTAGCAATCAGCCCCAGCTTGCTCTCTGCTTTGCTATAGGTCCCACTTTCATTGGGCAGAGCCATTTTTCAATTAAGATTGTTTCATAGCATTTCCAAAGAAGTCTTTGATCAGAAGTTCCCAACTAGCTCCTGTCAGCTGTATTAACCTCCTGGCCAACAAGCCATCGCATGCTCCATTTCACAACATATCATTTTAAACCAACTCTAAAAGGTTTTTGTGAAGTTCCTACAGATTTGCACCAGAATAAATGATCGTGTTGTTATACATATTCTCTAGCTTGCAATAATGCAAAATAATCCAGTTAAAGGGACAATTAGCCTTCACATCCTACTCAGTGTGTGCACTGAATTGCATCCATCAGTACCTTACTATTGAGAGCAGCACCTCAGGGTGGTCAAACCACTATCACCTTTGCTTCAGAAGGACCTGAGCACGTATTTAAAAACAGCAGCAAGAAATGGAGAGTCTGCCTTTGGAAGGATGCACCAAGAGCAATGCTAAAGTGAGCCTGTGCTCACGTGCTTGCTGCACCTGGGACAAAAGAGCATGCCAAACAGACAACCTTTTTCTTCTAAGGGTCTCTGCTTCAAAGGTGAGTATGAGATACCTGTGCACTTCACTCCTGACAAGAAGATTTATAAATCTCTCTAAAGTTCGTGCTATTTTAATCTATTTTTCAGAAGTATACATACAGATTGTAGTGCTATTAAAGAAAGTGTTCCTTTTTCCCCTGTAGCAAACCACGTTAGTCCTGTCTTAAGGCAGGATATCTCCTTACTGCCTGTTTGATTTCTGTTACACAGGTTAAGTAAAGAAATAACTTTTTTTTTTGTTAAAAAAAAAAAAAAGTTCTTAATGTATCCTTCCAAAGGAAATAATAGGGAATGGCTCTTGTTTCTACAGCTAGCAAACTATGTGGTTTCTTTTATGAGCTAAATGAAAGGAACATACAGAATAATCATTATGGATTTGTATGAAATTACTAGGTATGGAATGCAGTAAATCCCCAAACAAGCTTTAACTATAGCTTGTAAGATATAATAATCAGGTAAAACTGGAGACTATCCTTTTGTAAGATGCAGTAACCTAATATTTTATCGGAAACCTTGATTTATGTTTAATAGCTCTGCTACCTACTAAAAAAGATCTTGTATTAGCAAATGGGTACAGATCCAGTCCATTAGCTTAGGACAACTGAAAAACTCAAGGGTTTTGTGAACTAATGCAATAAAATATCATTAAACACTGTAGCATGACAAGACAGACAGAAGGTTTGAGTTGAAAGTCAGGAGAAGTGTTTGAAATGAAGTAAAATGTACAATAGATATGTTTAGGTACATCTGGCTTACATTTGCAGTAGGTCGTCAGAGGACCTTAGTGTCTGTGATGTAAATGAATAACAGAGCCCTCAACAATTTAACTGTCATCAGTATAAATGCTTTAACTGGCACAGTAAAGCAAAGCTCTGGGCCCCTTTCTAAATCTCCATAAGCTCCTGGTCTGAATTATAAACTGGGGCTGCATTACCTGGAGATGAAAGCAGCCAGGTCAATTCACTTAAAACCAGAGAATTACCACGGCGAGGCTGAGATGAGCAGCACAGCAGCATGTGTGCGAATGTGCAGTTGGGTTTCCACACAGAGCTTTGTGAAGACAAGAGGAGCATCTGACTGGCTGGGCACTGCAAATCCAGATTTGCAAAGGTAAGGAAATTTGTGTTTTCAGCAAGTCAGCGTTTCCAAACAGTAAGGCCAAAGATAAACCTCCAGAATTAAGTCTCTGCTAAGAAGAATGCTGCTTTAAGGAACTAATAACTCCTGTGTGACGTGCTCTGAGCCCATGGCTTGCACGCAGCTCCCACCAGGCTGCAGCTATCACGCTTACAGCCAGGCCGGTGAGCCTGACTACACAAGCTCTGCTGCTGCCTTTAGGGCCTTTAAGCAAATCTTTTCCTCTCTTCTTGCTCTCATTTCTTTACTTATCTTTTGTCAGCCTCAAGATCAGCAATTCCAGGCAGCAGAGGTTATCCCCAGTGCTGTAGGTGTGTGACACAACAGATGGGTTCCAAGGCTCCTAAACCAGACAAAGCCCAGATACCACAGCTACAAAGCTTGACGAGTTGGAAATACCAAACAATTCTGCTTGGTGAGGGCAACCAAGCTCAGAAAGCTGCGAAAGCAAACTGAGCGCACTTACTGCGATGCGGCTCAGTTAGCGTCTCGTCACATAACCTTCTGGGCTCAAGATGAAATTGTTTCCCTTCCCCTTCAACAATCGCATAGGATGTTCTCCTTTATAGTAAATTCCAAACAAATTAATGGATTCCAACATGCATCATCAAATTTATATTTCCTCTTCCACAGAGTCCTACCCCTGTAAGTAATCCTTAAAATTCGTCATGAAGCTTTCAAAACAATTTATGCAAACAAACATCAAGCGGAGCTATTTGTATTGGCAGCACATTTCACTTAACAACCTACAACAAGGAACAGATGGTCGGAGCTCTGGAAACAGCTACAAAGAGAACAGTAGGAGCAAGTCCATCAGAAGCACTTTTTTCCCCCAATTTTGTGAAGATTACAGACTTGTTCATGTTTATTTCTTTGATTAGGCTGTTATTTTATGTACCCATGAATCCTTCCCTTGCATTTCA